ACAGCAACCTCCAACTCCTGGGCTCAAGCGAGTCTCCTGCCTCATCCTCCCAAGTAGCTGGGACCACAGGTGCCCACCACAACGCCTGGCTATTTTTTTGTTGTTGCAGCCATCATTGTTGTTTGGTGGGCCTGGGCTGGATTTGAACCCGCCACCTTAGGTGTATTTGGCTGGCGCCTTAGCCACTTAAGCCACAGGTGCTGAGCCTTTTTTTTTTGAAACAGAATCTCACTTGGTCACCCTTGGTAGAGTGCCATGGCATCTTAGCTCACAGCAACCTCAAACTCTTGCCTCAGCCTCCCTGGTAGCTGGGACTACAGGCACCTGCCACAGCACCCCACCATATTTCAGAGACTGGGGTCTCGCTCTTGTTCAGGTTGGTCTTGAACTCACCCCCGCTCCCTGCCTCAGCCTCAGAAACCCAAATGCTGGGATTGCAGGTGTGAGCCACTGTGCCAGGCCCTTCCCCTGTCTTAATAAATCATTACTCTAAAAAATAAAGAATAGCTCTCTCCACCCTTAGGGCAAGGCCATTTTTGGACATCTGGTCCTGGCATTGCAACACAACTGCCATCCTGCAGCGCCACCTGCTGGGCAAAATGCTCCACAAACTGCACCCAGCTTCAAGGAGGTAAGTGGCCCCTGCCTAGGTCCCCAGCTCCACTCATGATGGGACAGGCCTCACCTGCCAGGGTATGGGCTTCCAGAACATTCCACTGGAGTCAGGAAAGGGCTAGGGCTGGGGAAGAGAGCCAGTTGGGGATGGCAGCCCTCCAGCATATCTTATCTACCCCCACACTCCAGGACTCACGGGCACAGGTGGGGCAGCAGTGCTGGGGCCCAGGGGGCAGAAGTTGGCTGGGGGGACAGCCCACCAGGCTTGGGCACTGCCGCCGGTGACAGCGAAGGCTGGGAGACCCCCCAGGCTGCAGCTACAAGAATGAGTGAGCAGGGGTGAGTCCTGGGCCGTGGACTCCAAGAACCACCCCTTCCACAGAACTTAGACCCCTCCATTTGCCTGCTGCACCCTCCTTTGCACTCTCAGACCATCCTCCTCCAAGCCCCACTGCCTAACTCCTGGCTTGTGGTGTCATTCGCCTGCTCAAAATAGAATCTCCACCATGTGACCCCCAGCCACTTCCCACCTACACCGTCCCCTGCCCTCACACACTCTGACCCTGTGTTTCATGTCTAAACCCAGACCTAGCCCTGCCCACTCAGGCCCTGTCTTGCCTCCTGGCCCTACTGTCTCTGACCCTACAGTGCCTACTCTGTGTTGTGTCCAGGATGGCTGGGCCTCACCCAAGCTGCCCTCTCCCTCCCCATGGGCCCGGCCCCTCAGCTGGACACATGCCCTACCTCACAGAGGCATACTTCACAGGGGTCCAACCCAGGTTGGAAGCTCTCTCCAGGCTCATACTTCCGCCCCTGGTGCTCACAATCTTGAGGGGGGAGGGTGAGAGCAGAAAAGGACCAGGGCCTTCAGGCTGGAGGCAATGCCAGTATGGGCTTCCCCTGCCCCAGAGATTGGGATGTGCATGAGAATAGAGGCCACTTCTCCCAGACTCTGCCACCCAGCCCAGCTCAAAAGCAGGGAGGTGTGGACCTGGATGTGCCCTCCCTATCCCAGGCTTCCAGTACCAGAGCATCGAGGGCAGCAGTCATTGGGCCCCTGATGGGGCTGGGCACAGGAGCTGACACACTGGATGTGGGCGCAGGTGACAACACCATGGTGACACACGCAGGAGGAGCAGGGGCTGTCCGGGGATACCCAGCTACTGCCTTCACGGTGCTCAACCCCATGAACCAGGCAGCCTACAGGCCGAGGCAAGCAGGAGTAAGCCTGGAGCCTGAGATTGCCCCTACCCTGGTGGTCAGCCAGGCATGTGGGCACCAGGAAGGGGGGCTGCAGGATATGGAGAGAAGGCAGCTATGGCAGAACTCTTGTCTGCTGGGGAGGGGAAAGACACTAGGTTGGGGGTGTCAGAACACCAGGGCTCTAACCCTGTCCTATGCCTGCCTGTTCCAAACAGCATTACCGTCAGCTGTAGCCAAAGTGCCTGGCATGCAGCAGGCATGTAATAAATGCATGAGGAAAAAAATGAACGGCTCCATCACTAACCATGTGCCCAAGGTAACTTAATATCTCTAAGCCTCAGTCTCCTCAGAGGTTACGGGGGGTTTCATCTGTCCTGCCCCCCTCCCAGGGCAAATGAGATGCTGTGACAGTTTGGGGAAGCAACACTATGCTGAGCCATGTGTGGGGCAAGGGGCAGCACAGGCTAAGAAAGGCTCATATTCTGGAGTCAGATGGCCTGGATGCCCATCTTGCCTCTGCCCTCTTCTAGCTGAGTGACCACAGGCAATTTTTGTTACCTCTCCATATCTGTTTTCTCATCTGTAAAATGGGAGTGATAGTAGTACTTATCTGATAAGATCGTTGCGCTGATTAAATGAGTTAATACAAGTAAAGTGCTTAGCTTGGGGCCTAGCTATGTCTCACTAAATGTTAAATATTATTATTATGAAGGGGGTATGGTGAGGAGGAGGGGTTGCTCTGAGGAGACTCTAGACAGCGCCTAGAAGGTGATGAGGCAGGGAGAGGCAGCAGTAGCTGAAGACAGGCAGGGGTCAGGACAGGGGTGGATGTGGAGCTCTGTGCCTCAAGTGAGAGGCATTGCCAGGGGCTGGGCATACCTCTGCAGCGAGGGCAGCAGCTCCCTTGCTCTGTGACCTGGAGCAGGCAGGGCAGGGGTGGGCACCGCAGCCGCACACAACTAACCTGGCCGGCCTGCGGGAGAGGCAGATGGAGGGTCAGTGGCTTGCCACCTAGCCTGGGACCCAGAGACACTGCCCTCCCCCCTTACCTGACAGTGACACCGTTCACAGCTGCCTGCAGGCCCTTCAAATTCCTCCCCATCCTGGTACTCTTGGCCCTGGGAGAGGCAACCTGTGGGGGACACTCCTCCTGGGTAGTGGAACTGTGCCCCCCTGCCCTACTGTGCCCAACCTCAGGCCTGCCAAGAAGATAGGGAAGGAGGGAGGAAAAGGTGGGAAGGAGGGAGGAGGAGGGGAGAGGTGGGAAGAAGGGAGGAAGAGGTGGGAAGGAGGAAGGGAGAGGTGGGAAGGAGGGAAAGGCAGGAAGGGCCTGGTGCTGGGGCACATGGAAAGCAGCTCACTGTGGCACACAGGACAGAAGCAGGGGCCTGGAGAGGGGTGAGGGCAGAGAGCTGGTGGACATGGCTTCTTCTGGCAGTGCATGGAGCCTTCCTGGAGAAGAGAGGTCACACTACCACTTTGGACACCCAGATCACTCCATCACACTCAAAAACCAGGCTGTACACTGCCCCAAGGCCAGCATCCTTCCTGGGCCTGCTAGGCCCCAACTCTCTCCCTCAGCCCAGTCCTGTCCCATAAGATGTCAGCATGTACCCCTTGGGACCTTGATGGAGGAAACAGCTCCATTCTGGCCAAGGAGGATGAATAAGAGATGAAAGCTTACCAAGGTTCCAAAGGGGCCACCTCACCTGGCAGGTGCAAAGGGAACAGGCAGGGTCACGTGGGTCAGGAAGGGTCTCTCCAGAAGCAGCAGTGACACCATGGTAGAGACATCCTGGCAAGGCAAGGAATGCAACAGAAGGGCTGCCCTCAATGCAGCCCCCACTGCTACACGCACAACAGTGTCAGGTCTGGGGACCTCTACCAAAGCTTAGGGAGTCAGAGAGAAAGAGAGAAGCGTGGTCTAGAGTGGCAGGAATAGTGAAGGCTGGGAGGAAAGACAGCAGCCAGGCCACACACAGCAAATCAAGGGTGGCTCTTCAGGCAGGAAGAGTGGTAGGAGCAGCGGGAGGGCATGCGGCAGGGACTGCTGGGAACTTACTGTCCACATGTGCCAGGGTGGGGAGAGGAGGAGGGAATGGACACACCTGGAAATGCAGATGAGGTGGGCTGCACCAGGAAGGGTGGTGCTGAGAAAGCCAGGAGAGGAAGGAGGTCACCACTGTGGACTGGTGACTTCAGGGCAAGGGGAGCCAGTGAATGATTTGGGGTATAGAAACATCTTTTAGGAAGGCAGAGAAACAATCTAAAAGCAGGAAGATATGGAAGTCAGAGGACAGTTATTTGGTGAATGTGACAAGTGTGAGGTAACAGCAGGGACAGAGGAGGGTGTGGAAGGGTGTGAGGGGAGTGGGGGAAAGACTGAGGGGGTGTCTATCTTGGGAGGGGCTTATGAGGGAGCTGGAGGACCCTGGGAACCCCAGAGGGGGAATGGAAAGGCAGGTGCAGCCCTACCCTGGCAGGTCGGGCAGCAGTGCCCAGATGGGGTGAGTGGGTGGCTGCAGCCCAGAGGCTCACAGGGCCGACGTCTACAGGTCACGAAGCCTCCAAGGCAGGTACATAGATTGCAGGGTTCTTGGGGATCCAGGAACTCCTGGTTGCTCAGATAGGATTCCCCCAGGTACTCACAGCCTTCCAGGAAGCATCCGGAGGGAGGTAGGCAGGAGGGGCAGAAAGGAGGGAAGCAGTCATGGCTCTGAGTTTGGGTTGGGCATGCATCCATGGGAGAAGGGACAGGTCATAGTCCAGGCCCAGGGGGCAAAAGAGTCTTAAGAAGGGCAAGGTTTGGACTGGCCAAAGGGCAAGCTTTCTCCCCTTAAGCCTGTAAGAAATCTCCCTGTCCAGTTTGTAGGAAGAAACCCACAGGGAATTTGTCCTGAGGCTTAAATACTCAGCAGTATTTAAGGCAGAAGGCACTGGCAGAAGGCACCAATTTCCCCAACCTGAGGACAGCTGGAGTAGCCCCAGCTGACTTAGGTGGTACAGACCCAAGGTATCCCCTTCCCAATGCTCCTTCAAGTCCTCTGATCAATGGGGGTTGGGGGGTTCTGGGTGGTGGTAGCTCTCTGACATTTCCTCACCTTTTAAATTTATTTATTTATTATTTTTTTATTACATCATAGCTGTGTACATTAATGCAGTTATGGAGTACAATGTGTTAGTTTTATGTACAATTTGAAATACTTTTATCAAACTGCTCACCTCTTTTTTAAAAAGAGAGGGTGGGCCTCAGGCTCAAAGCCTTGGCAAGCAGAAGTATGTGACTAGAATTTAACAATGTTTTTATCAATGTATTCAATTTTATGGTAATCTATTCCTGGTAAGTCTAATTTTCCATTTACAGTATGACATAAAATTCCTTTCTAAATAAATTTAGTGAGTTAATTTCAAGAAGAACATTAAACAAAATAAAATTACTTTTGATACACTGTATGTGACCAAAATTGCTAGATAATACAAGTGTGAGGGAAGACTGGGGAACTAGGCCTGGTTCAACTCTCTCTTTTTACATGAGTTAAAATTAGGCCCAGAGAGGTTATGTAACTTGCCAAAACCCACACAGCCAAATAGCGCCAGAGGCAAGAAAAATCCAGGCTTTAGTTCCAGGCTTTTTTCTTACTATAATAAATATTTTAGATTCACTCTAAAGCAGTAAAGATGACTCTAACCCCGACTTCTTGTCACCCCATCCTGCAGTCCCCTGTCTTCTGGCCCTCACCATCACAGGCAGGGCAGCAGTCATCCCTGGCAGGGAAGGGGCACTGCGTGGGGGCACAAGCCCGGCGTTCGCAGCTCACGCTGCCCTCCCAGCAGAGACAGAGGTGGCAGGCAGCGGTGGGTGATGGGAAGCGCTCCCCACTGGCAAACTCCTTCCCCTGGTACAGACAGCCTAGGAAGAAC